GTTAAGACGTTGCTTTGTGAAATTGGTGACTCTCGACTAAGCAGTGTGTATTTAGACTGAGTGGAAACAGGACATACAATAACTGAGTAATACTAAAAACAGAAAAAAAAAATAGATGGGATATCCCTAGACATGAACAGTGAAGCGAGAACAAGCTACACCCGTAAATTAAATAAAGGTTTCAATTCAGAATTCCGTGTAAGTTACTCGGATTGGCGTGCACCTGATGAAGATCGGATAGCACAATAGTTCACGTATAAATAGTGTAAATATTTATAACTTGTTATTTCAGAAATTCAGACAGAATCCTCAAGATGTATATGATTGGGGAAACCATATTGTTGGGGCGCACCCACCTTCTGACTGATAATGGACTTATCCCTCTACGATATAAGTCAGTGCTAGAGAGAGTAGTTGTGTTGTGTGAAGGATCAGGTTCAGCGACAGCAGTCGAGATCAGGTTACCATTACATACCGTTGGACTGTAGATTTTTGCTCTTGTTACTTACTAACCGGCGTTCCTTATTACTAATCACTCTGTTGTTAATTACCTCTTACAAATATACCAGTATTTATCCCTACAACTATGTTTGTCTTTATTCGAATACACACACGCGGGAAAACTCCCAACAACTCAACACATATTATTGTTATTACATTTTTTTTTAACTGTTTTTTTTTAAATTTTATTTTTATTGATTTTATTTCAATACTCGAATCGTTTTACACACTACGAGCGTTTCAGATTCATGCTGCTAAATTAACAGACGTTTACATAAAACAGACATGAATGTGGCAAAAAGCAACAGAAACAATATAAAAGAAATATTGTCAATAAATTAAAAATGATTATGATTATCAATAAATAAGTAATGATTATCAAGTGATTTCGACTATATTCCCGTATTTTCGTCTATATAATATGAGAAATATTGAACGAAAATTAAAGGCCAAAAAGTAGTGCCGTATTATACACAAGTACACATTTTCCGAAACTTTTACGCAGCTTCAAAAACATATCAGTTTATCCATTTCTGAACGAGTTGGACGCCACGGATGACTTCTATTTAAGATAAGTCCAGATGTCAACAAAACCTACAAATTTATTTCTACCATTCGGGATTTCATTGGATAATACTGTCATATATATTCTGCTGCTTCTGCTACGAATTTAGATATTCTTGATAAGGTGCAAAGAAGAATCTGGCATCTCTTCTTCAGTTATTCTCTCACAGCCTTAATGTCGTATCGCTGTGCCTTTTCTATAAATATCTCCATTGTAACTGTTTGATGAGCTTTCTATTTTCCATTCTACGTATACTTCATAAATTGAAGTGCAGTACTAGATTGGCGCTATGGTCTCATCATCATACTGTTGAAATGGCTATATGTAACCGTAAGTTCTATGCTAAAAGTTTCTTCTAGCGCACTTCTCACTTGAGGAAGTCTCTTCCGGCTTCTTACTTTGGAGTAAATATTAATCATTGTAAATAAATTAATTTTGAAAAATTTAAACGCAATATCGATCATTATATCATGTCTGTTTAATTCCTGATTTTTATTGTTCGCTCTCCTTAACAACCTTTTTGCGTCTTAGTGACTTTATTGCCTTGATTGTGAGGGAAATAAAAAATCGGAACGAGTTGTACGCCATGAATGACATCCATATGATATAAATCCATATGTCGAGTAAACTATAGTAGCTGTACATGTATTTTCGCATAAATTCAATATAAAAATTCGTATATAACATCTATTCAGCATAACTACCTAGGTAACAGATATTCTACAAAAAATACGAGCCTCTACGCATGCGCAAGATAGAGGGATAGTAAGCACACGGAAGAGATTAGCAACAATCCTATCCTTTTACGTTAGAAGGTTGGCTTAAAATATTAAAGATAATTGTGTTTACTCGTGACGTGCTTAAGAGGAAAAACGTGTCAACAATTTTTCGTCTTTGGTGTAATGCCCCTTGCTTCCTTTTTGGCGAAAATGAGGCATCAAGCTCTGAAATTGAGAACAAAAAAAAACACGTGAATAGACTGTGACAAACATGACGAGACCATTTACTTTGAAATGTGTAAAACCGTAGAAAATGTGTACAAACGAGTTTGATATTTTCCACAATCTCTGACTAAAACATAAAGAAATTAATAACAGAATGGAACACTTACATAAAAGAAGTATATCTTTAAATTTTCACACACACACACACATATATATATATATATATATATATATGAAAGCAAAAACGCCAAAGTATAACTTTCCTTTACTAATGCGTTTCGACCTCTCGACTTTATCAATGTAAAAGAAAAAATTTCTGCAGCATGTATTTATAAGCATAATTAAAAAATATCGATGGTTTTTCAAATTGCTCAAATTTAAGATCGCTCAAAAATGTACTTAAGCTAACTAGTAATGTAAAGGTAAACTATGGAGAATGCTAAGTAATGCCTAATAAAAAAAAGTAATTAAATTTTGTTGTTAGTGAATTGCTTGTTTTCTTATTTGCTTAGATATTTTTACTTATTTCTTTACGTATTTTCATATCAACGTAATTGTTATTTATTTTTTGATTTGAAAATTTATTTAATTTAAATAATAGAAGGTTCTGATTTAAAAGTTTCCTTTTTAATAAAATGTGGTCATGTTGGCACAGGAAAAGTGGATTTGAAAATATACAACGGGACGCAGGTTAACGTTTGGCTATGACTCAATAGAGGCACTCTCAAGAACTTTCCTTCTAAGTAAGTTATTTTCTTTTTTAAATAAATGTGGCCTTTTTTTAATCAAAGTTGTGATTGAATTATTACTTTCTGTGTATGAGAAATGTATTGGATAAATCTTACGCATAAGATAATTTTTGTGTTCATTGATATGTTTTTATCTCTGCAAGTTCCCACAATATATTGTAAGAAAGCGTTGTGACATTTTAATATATATATATAAATTAGAAAACCTAATGATATTTTTTTACTTCTCTTTATAAATAAAATCAAATCATTACATTTACATTGACAAAGCCCATCAAAGGACGAAACGCGTTGGTAAAGGAAAGTTTTCACGCTGCCCTTTAGTCTTCATTCATTTTGTCTTAATTATAGATATATTTTATTTGCGTATGACATTTTTGCTCACACAGACACACCCACACACACTGATATATATATATATATATATATATATATATATATATATATATATATATATATATAATGAAATGGATTAATTGCAACAATTATGTAATATATGTTTTTGTTTTTTGTTTATATGTCATTTTTATAGATACAATTTATTTAAGTAAATGTTCTATTTTTAATTAAAAAGTATTACTTACGTTTACTGGCCTGGAGTTCGAGAAATTTCGGCGGAAATATTTGGACTTTGCTAACCAGTCGCTTCTCTCTAGCTAAATGATATAGCACGTGCGATCAAATGACGGTTTCCGTATAGAGATACAGTTTCAATTCCTGTCAGAGAAAGCATATTATCTACGAAATTTCTCGTACATTCATGCCGGTAAATGTAATTAATGTTGTTTTATTAAAAACAGTGCATTTACCTAAATAAATTTTATTTATAAAAATAACGTCTAAATATATATATATATATATATATATATATATATATATATATATATATATATATATATATATATATATATATATGTATATATATATATATATATATATATATATATATATATATATATATATATATATATATACACACACATACACAAATGTAATGAAAACGAAAAGAATATAAATTTAAAAGAGTGATCAACGCCTTTATCCACTGTGCCATGTGTACACATGGTTAGATCCAGTGACATACCCAAAGAAGGTGAGTTCAATACCTGGTTAAGGCAGTGGAGAATTTTCAGAGGGAAAATTAGCAGGAGATAACTGATAACTGACATCCATCAAAACACGGCACGTGGAACTAGAACAGTCTACCCCAGTGATCGAAATAAAGGGTCCAGTTCGAAATTCCAACCACCTGAAGAAGGCCGGAGCGTACAACGGCCGAAACGTTGTGACAAATATGGCGACAAAGATGAGGACAATAGTCCGACTAATGTAAATACTGTACATAATACCTCATCTCAGAAATATAGACAGACTCCAAAAACAGAGCAATAGTTATTTATTATAAGTTGTTAATACGAACAAACAAGTAATCACTAAAAAAGATGCACATTTGTTTCGATACCTAAAAAATCATGAAATTTAGTCTGGATGTTTAGAACGATGACTTCTTCATGTTATTGTCCGGAGGAGGGGATTTGCAACGTGACTGAAAACACCTGAACGAAGCATTATGAATTAAATTGGGTTGAGAAAACTGATCTGAAGCCGATGATGGTTGTGCTAGCATGAAATTTCAAGCCATCGTGACCGAGGGTTTGAGCGTACTGATCGTATACAAGAAAGTGATCACGCAAGATTATACTCTCTCTCTCTCTCTCTCTCTGTATGTCTCTTTCTCTGTCTCTCTGTCTGTCTGTCTCTCTCTCAGAAACTGTAACTCAGGTCTGCTCAGTATAGTTGCAGTAAACACTATAATTGTTCTCTATGGATTGTGTAGGAGTCTGTAATAGGGTTTTCTATCTCTCCTAGTGTAACTGGTTTGTTTGGAATCAAATAGTAGCTGTTCATTCTACCAAAATCACCACGTAATGTTTATTTTTCAAGTCTTTTTTTCTACCATAAGAGATTTACTTAAATATAAGTACTGACTTCGAGTCACTCTCATAGCGCGTGTGTTGTCAACAACAAACAGGTCAGGAACAGAAATAATCAAGGAAACATTGTAAAAATCAAATAAAAATTGCTTCTTCTTCCAATTTAGAGTTGAGGCTTTCCTTTTAAGTTCCCCTTTCGCCTCCCTTATTCGAAAGTCAGCTCATTAGTCCTGTGTCTTCATTAAACCTGCCTTAAGCCAGAACAACATAATACGGTTATCGCTTATTAATTGAATTGCTTAATCAGAGCAAATTGAAGGTAGATTGCTTAGATTCGGCTCAAGAGTACTTTTTAGCTGTATATCCACATGTATTGATTACTACAAATAAACAAAAACATCTATCTATCTATCTATCTATCTATCTATCTATCTATCTATCTATGCATGGAAGAGTGTCCGGATATCTGTAGAGTATGGATCAAGTCCGTAACCATACACAATTGTTTTGCTGAAATTTCACCTTCGATATGTATCTTTAATATTTAATGTAGCATAAAACGCATTGATAAAAACGATTATATATATATATATATTAATTATTTAAAGAAAATGATTCCTTCGCTACATAAGAGTTCTCATGTTTCAAAGACGAGAGCCGAAACACTCAGTATAATTATTAAAATTAAATTGAAAAAGTATCATGCTCTGTTTCATCCTCAAGCGAAAATTTAGGAATAACCAATCTTGAAATTTACGCATCTTTATAAGCATGTTCGCTCGCAAAATTAATTACTATGGAAACGGCTGGGGCTACCATTTTGATAGGGGGTCTGACAGTTAGTTTTCATCAGCATATCAGTCACCTTCTGAAAGTGGTCAAGCCAAGGTAGGGTGGGGTATCCATTTCAAAGCGGAGGATGGCATTCATGTACGCACATCGTCTGGTCAGTTACAGTGAAAGATAGCATTTGGTACCATGGTATGTCCTGAAATACACACGTACAAAGTGAACCCACGTGTCATTGCAAAGAACGAATGTCTCTTAAACGGCAATTGCTTGCAGAACAATGTAATATACCAAGCCACAGATTACCTAGACAGAGCAAAATAATACTTAACATAGTTAATCCCTATGAAACGATAGTCATAGTTGTAACCCGAGTTTCACGCTGATGCTATCTTTACACGTATATATATATATATATATATATATATATATATATATATATATATATATATATATATATACAAGGCAGTTAGGAACACAGAAAACAGAATCGACAGTTCTAGTTCAAATCCAGACTGTTAAAATCTGTGTTAACTTCCCATGATTACTTGAAAAGGTATTAATAGGAATCAATGTTAAATAGAAAATTGAAAATTTCTGAATTCTAATCAATACAAGTATAGTAATTATATTTAGTGTATTCTCAAAAAGTCTAAGAAAACTTAAAGAATATGTATTTTTGGATTAGGAAAATAATCTTGCTTGTTCCAGTTACAAAGTCTCGGCCGTGGTATTCTCTGGTCTACCTCATATTTCTAACCTACTCGGTTACCTTCTCAAAATTACAAACAGAACTCTTTATTCAATTCATGAGGGTCGATTGTTTTAATTTCACATTGAATCTTTAGAGCATAATCGAATATTAAGAAGACATAACAAATCTTATTTATCTTGTGAGTATAATATCCAAAGTGAGTATTCTTGTCCAAATGAAAATGTATATATTTCTTCATTTCCAGAATTACGACACAAATTAATTTTAAGAATTGGATTTCCGTTTAGCACCAATATTTATTTTATTAATATTCATCTTTCTCCCGGAATATATGAAAGCATAACAGAACAATTTACTTAATTGCATGGAAGCAACATTTCCAAAAGTTAAGGAAGATTCTCAGCGTCTTTGTAAAACAATTTATAACAACACATTAAACTTCATCAACATGTTTATCCTATACTGAAATAGGCATTTATTTTTCCGAATAAATATTAATTTTCTTTCTTGTGACTGCATTTATTCAACGATATACAAACAGTTCAAACATTATACTATGGAAATTTAAAATCCAAATTCATCTAAAATCGAAGTATAAAGATAAGATCTCATTGAATGTGTCACATAATTAGAATTTGTTTTTTATTAGTTTCTATTAATTTATAAATGTTTTCACTGAATGACCCATATCCCAAGAACGGAACCAGTCTTAATTCTTCCTCAATTTGCAGTGTCCTTTCAGGGCGCGGTGGATCATGGTAGTTTCCTTAATAATTTTGATAGGAAGATTTTAACATTTACACCGATTCTTAAGCACTTCGAACATTTAGCACGATTCTTCTGATTTCAGATATGATCGCTAAAATAAGTACTTCGAATTTAAGATCACGTAAATACTCTGTTTATAATAAAGACTATTATTTAAATTTACTGGCCTGAATATCCTAGAAATTTTGTAGAAAATATGTGTCCTACGACGGGAATAGAGTCAGTATTCTACACGGAACAGTCATTTGACTTCACGTGTTATACCATTTAGCTATTGTTTTGAAACAGATATTTGAACTTTGCTAACCCGACGTTTCCTCTGTAGCTAAATGGTATAGCAAAATTATATACGAAATTTCAGCCCGCTATATATATATATATATATATATAGATAGATAGATAGATAGATAGATAGATAGATAGATAGATAGATAGATATAAACCAGCTCTTGTTGGAAAGGAAATGGTCGGAGATGCAAGTGAAGACGGAGGCTGCAGTTCATCTGTGGTTGCGGAGGAAACTTTCCTTAATGGGAGGACGGAAGTTTGTGCTTCGTACATTTACCCGATTCTCCATTACTGAATCTCTGTATTTCCAGTTCCGCTAGTAGTAATGTTATACCGCCGTTGTCCCAGGCTGAGCACTATGTGTTATTTTTTTTGTTTGTGTTTTTTTTCCCTTAATTAATAGGTGTTATGCAAGTCGTGATATGGACGACGCGACGGAAGGAATTCTATGGGGAAAAGAAAACTATCTCTTCCTAACGTATCGTGTTCTTTAGGCATCAACTTAAAGACTAGGACGGAAGGGTAACATCTCCATACATCTATCAGAATTTGGCGGAAGGTGGGTTAGTCTTGCGCGTCTGTTCCGAGGAAAAGTTGCTGACTTGAAGTGGCATTTTGATACCGGTTAGGTATTTAAGATTGGATATTCAGGTTTGAACATTGGCAACCTTGCTCACAATAGTCTAGTTTAGGCTTGTTTTTATTTTATTTTTCTGCCAAAGTTAACTTAGCTAGGGGATGTGAGCTCATAGGCCCCTTTTTTCCTCCCTTTCTGTAGATTAAATTCCCCACTTCCCGTTAGGTAATCAGTTCCCTGGTGGATGCAGGACATCTTTCGACTTTCGGGTGTGTTTTTTCGTTTTTGTTCTTGTTTGGATGAGTTCATGTTTGTATGAGTGGTTGATTGTATAATTGATCATTGAACCAAGTTCCGCATTATTTTTGTCCAGTTCACTGACATATCTGTCATATTTAATGATTGTGGAGGTGTCTATTACTAACACTATTTTGTTTTGTTTCTGTATACAATTTATTTTTCATTGTAAATATCCATCGGGGTAAATTTTTAAAATCCTATCTTATTCCACCTCCACAGACAAATTGTATATATGGAGCCTAGTTAGGACTTCATAGTCAATGTGGTATTATGGTGGATACAGTAAGAATGGTATGGAAGAATGTGGTGTTTTAGTGCAAGGATTATTGTAGCATGTTTGGGGCATGTTTGGCTTGGTAATTTAAGTTTAAGACAGATAAAAAAAAAAACAGCCTTCTTCATCCCCATTTTAGATCATCTGCTACATTTGTATTTTTGTACAATAAATATTGCAAGGTAGAGAACAAGTTATCAGCGCGGAAACAGAATGGATGAGCCAAGTTCAAATCACAATATTGTCTGTTGTAATAAGGCCGTTGATGAATCCATCTCATCCCACTCACCACCACCGCTGCCAGAATTGAGTTTTCTCTAGACTTGAGTGGCAACCAGTCTGAGAGAAAGTCGATTCTGATTTCAAAACCACAAAGAAAGCACAGGGAATCACCTGAATATTTTCTTCCAAAAATATTCCATAGATAACAAAGAAAACGGACATGGAATTACAAAATGTATTCGTATTATTTCTACAAATATACGTCAAGCTATACCGCATAAGACGACTGGAGTATAATCCGAACTCGTATTTCTGAAATTAAAAATACTGAATAAATTCCATCCTTGAGTAAAATGCAACACAGCAGTACATCATTTCCCATGTATTTTTTTAAAGTTATATCATATTATCCATTAAAATCTCAATGTTGTAAATGTATTTCACTATAATATTTAATTTTTCACGATATTCAAGAACAGGAAGAAGCCATATATTTAACCATTGTATGTTTCTTCTCCTAATGTCTGTTTCAAACCTTATTTTCCAAATTTTGAGGAAATGTGGTAACTAGGCATATTCGGTAATACATTTTAAAGTGTTAATAATTTGATATGATTTTATTATATATCTGTGTATTAATACACTATGAAAATAAAACAGAACTTCTTTCATTAATAATGAAAAGATAAACCTTCATAAAACTATATAAATCAAAATATAAACTTTATCCCGTGAACAAAACTGAGTGAATTTAAAATCTTGCTGGCTTCTTTTCTTTTAATGCAACACAAATAATGTAAAGTTATTTATCGCAATTATTAATTCACCACAAAAAGTTTTAAGTTAAAAATACATTTGGTATTAACATTTTGACACTCTTTTGAAATTATAAATTATACATTATTCGGACTATTATCCTAATCGTTGTCGCCATATTTATTACAACGTTTCGGCCGTTGTACCTTCCGGTCTTCTTCAGGTGGTTGGGATGGCGAACTGAACCCTTTATTTCGCTCACTGGGGTAGACTGTTTTAGTTCTACGTGTCATGTTTTTAATGGATGTCAGTTATCAATTATCTCCTGTTAATTTCCCGCTGAAATTTCTCCACTGTCTTAACTGGGTATTGAACTCACAGTCTTTGGGTCCTGTCACTGTATCTAACCAACGCCTTTATCCACAAAGGCATTAGGTACATAATTCTTCGTCTCAGAATTATAAATTTTAAATCAAAATTTTTTTAGCTTGACTTTCAACAACTTCAACCCTCAAAATGAAAAAAATAATCAGGGAATTATTTACATTTCATAAATGTAGATGAGATTCGAGGTAATTACAAAGAAATTTTTCCCATTAAAAAAATAAAAAATCTGTTTTTGGCTTGTCTATTGAAGTGAACGCGACGCAGACGCCATACTTAGAAATAGCGCGCCATATTCACTCACATTTGGGGCGATTGCATAGGTACCGGAGTGCAAAAGAAGGGCGTAGCTGTAGAAGAATTTGGTGTGAATTTTAATAAATATAAATTCTTTTTATT